ATCTATTGCTGTCTCTATGAATTTTCCTACTCTAGGTATTGCATATAAGTGAATCACACAATATTTATCCATTTGTGTCTGGCTTATTTCCTTTAGCACAATGTTCCCAGGGCTCATCCATGTTATAGCATGTACCAGAACATCTCCCTATAGTAAACAATAATGTATTGTCCACGTAAAAATTTGTTAAGAGGGTAGACCTCATATTAAGTGTTCTTACTGCAATAAAAAATAAAATATAAAAAAAAAAAAACCTTGGCCGAGTGCAGTGGCTCACGCCTGTAATCCTAGCAAAATGAATAAGCTAGAAATCTGCTGTACAACATTGTACCTGTGCTCAACAATGTTTGCTCACTTAAAAATTTAGAGGGTAGACCTCATATTAAGTGTTCTTACTGCAATAAAAAATAAAATATAAAAAAAAAAAAACCTTGGCCGAGCGCAGTGGCTCACGCCTGTAATCCTAGCACTCTGGGAGGCCGAGGCGGGAGGATTGTTTGAGCTCAGGAGTTCGAAACCAGCCTGAGCAAGAGCGAGACCCCGTCTCTACTAAAAATAGAAAGAAATTAATTGGACAACTAAAAATATATAGAAAAAATTAGCCGGGCATGGTGGCGCATGCCTGTAGTCCCAGCTACTCGGGAGGTTGAGGCAGAAGGATTGCTTGAGCCCAGGAGTTTGAGGTTGCTGTGAGCTAGGCTGACACCACGGCACTCACTCTAGCCTGGGCAAAAGAGTGAGACTCTGTCTCAAAAAAAAAAAAAAAAAAACCTTCAATCTTTTTTATGGTTGAGTAACATTCCATTGTATGGCTGTATCACAAACCTCTATAATTTTTAAATTAATGTTTTAATATCATATGTTGAATCCAGAACTTTAGAAGACCTTCCCTTATCAATCAATCTAAACAGCCCCTTGCCCCTGCCTCTCAGTTACCTTCTCACGTTACCATTGTTTTATTTTCTTCATGGCATTTTTCACTGTCTGAAAATATCTTATTTTTCAATGGTTCCAGTTTATTTCCAATCTTCCTCAACTAGAACATAAACTTCATGACAACAAGGTGCATAACTACATCTCCAGCAGCCAAATCAGTTCCTGTTGGGAAGGAGGTGTGCATGGAGGGAAGGGAAGGAAGGGCCAGAGAGAGCATGCCTCACTCTTACCTGGTACACTTGCAATGCACAGAATATGAGAGTTGCAAACAGAGAAACTGTCGAGGATGTTGCCTGGTTGAATAGCATCAATGATGATAACTTTTGTAGCTGAATGAGTACTGGTACAGATCCAGACTAGACTGGATAATTCTTCTTGATTTTTTAACTCCTTCTGCTGTTCCTGAGTAGACAAAGTAAGGAAAATGAATGTTTAAAATGATATGTGTGTACAAATATTCATACGGCTGTGCTGTTACAGTAAAGGGCAATACTATTTCAAAATTTATTTCCAGATTATTTGGAAGGATAAAAATAAAACTATCAATATTAATTAGTAGATTAAAAACCTGGCAGTTCGAGCAGATCAGTGATAAAAAATGGTCTATCACTGTGATTGCGGTAGTGATTACACAGGTGTACACATTTGTCAAAACTCTGACCTGTACCCATTTCAAGTGTACACTTTATTGTATGTAAATTATACCTCAATAAAACTGACTTACAAGTGTGGTGGGGGACAGTAAGCAAAGGCACAGTAATCCCAATTAGAAGTTGGACCAGAAGTAAATTCTAGACCAAAGAGCTAAACTAATGGTCTCATAAACCAGGTCAAATGTCAATGTACGCTTACCTTAAGTTCCTGATCTAACTTATCTAAGCTACTCTGAGATGCACTTCGCTGTTTACTGCCTTCTGTATCCAAAGCAGCAACATCCTTGTAAAATACACTTGCTCCAACAACAGAGCCACCGTCTCTGGTCTTCCCACCAGATAAATTGACTCCAACAGCACACCACAGCTTCTCAGGTGGGGGAAAAAGAAAAGAGTATTAAATCTAGAAATGTGAAGAAAACACTTTTCTTTTCACGTTTTCTTACTTTTCCTAAAATTCTAGTCATTTTCACTTTTTCTTAAAATAACTAATGGTTGTATACATAGGTATTTAACATAGTCTAAAACTATAAAATGAAAAATAGAAGTAGTATTTAAATTTTTTCTGGTTTTAGGAAAAAAAAATTTATCCAGAGTTTAAGAAATATCTCCTTTAACTTTACAATGAACTTACCTTCATTGATGTATCTTTTTCATCTAGAGGTCTGAGATAGACAGGCACAGGTAAATTTTTCATCTTATTTTCGCCTTGACCATTGGTTACCTAATGGTGGGGGGGAAAGCAAAAGACACACTTGTAAACCTCATTAAAAGTGGACTTCTTACAGAACCACTGAGACACGGGCAAGCACTGCTATTACAGATTTACTCCCTGAAATCAACTTTAAGTTGATTTTGTCATTCTTATTTGAAAAAATAAACAGAAAAATCAAGTAGCAATTAGATAAAATAAACAGGATACTATGGGAGGTCAGAAGAGAGGTACTAATTCACGTGCATGTGCACACATGTGTTTGTACGCAGATGTGTGAGTTTTTGAGGGGTAGGGCATATGGAGTAGATACGTAAAGTTCCTGAAGATCTGAACTAAGTTTTAAGTGAACAATTTGAAAGGCTCCAACCATGCCAATGGTTTTTAAACACTTTTAAACAATGATGCTTTTTTTTAAAAAATGAAATCTTCAAATATTAAAACAGAGCTGCTCTGGTTAAAGCGAAGCCGGGTCCCTCAAATTCCATGTACTTGACCACCCTGTTGACCCCTCTCCTCCTCACAGACTCAGAGAGAGGCATTTCATGTGAGCTCTATGTTGCTGGAAAACAGCCTGAAAACCACTGCCCTCTGTACTTCTCTAGACACGTGCCAAGTCCATGCAGCTTGAGATGAGCAGCGCTGGGGTGTGTACTGCAACTCCTTCACACCCAAGACACTCCCCTCACCCTGTTATTTCCCACAGATGCTCTTAACATGTTCACGTTACCTGTTTGTACTTCTGAGGCAGACTCCAGCCAAAAGCCTGTACTCTACCATCTTCCTTCTGAACATGTGCCTTTACCTGACGATACTGCTCTCTCTTTTGTTCTCTGCGTGAGGCTAAACTGGCTTCAGTTCTAAAAAGAAAAAAGATTTCCTTTTCAAGTTAAGTGAATATAACAGCTTTATCTCCCCTCTCTCGGCATAATAGCAAACACAACAAAAAATTACATGTTTTCAAATTAATTTATTCACATCAAAATAGCTTTAAAAAGTGTTACACTAAAGCTGGTCTTTTTAAGTATGTGCAGTGCCTGAGCTTTAACAGGTTAGCAAGCAGGCTGTTATGTTCAATTGAATCATCAGCCACCAAATTCCTATTAGGTTTTAGATGCTGGCCACATGAAAGGGAAAAATTCTTAAGTATTTTTGGCTCCTCCTTTTTTTATTCATTCAAGAAATATTTACAGAGAATTTTCTAATGCCAAAGCACCAGAAGTGACTAAAAGATCAATAAATCAGTATCTGCTTAGGAATATAATGTTGGTCAAATTTTAGATCCCACTAACTTGTTTCAGAAGACAAAAACAAAAAATGATTTGGTTAGCTTTGGAGCTATGCAATAAAATATTATGAAAATGATTCTGAAAATAATTTGCCTTTCTTTTGGCCATTTAAATTTTCATGAGGTGACTTGCCATGTATGCTGCAGTTAACAAATCTACCTATACGTCAGATACTTTATAGATACTGTATAATTTAATCCTAATATCTTTGAGATAAATTATCAGACTCATTTCACAAGTAGAGAAACTGGGGCTCTGAGAGGTTGATTTGCCGAAGAATACGTACATAATGAGTAGCAGCCTTAGGATAAAACCAAGTCCTTTTGACACCACAGAAAATGTTCAAACTTTTAGGATAAAGGCTCAGATAAGCCTTTAATGTTTCCATCAATATTTATCAATGCTGTCATATCAGCAAAAATGAGGCATTTAAAAAAATTCCTTTTCTTTATGAAAACTGAAATGCAATTTTTGTAAAAAATCCTGATGATAAGAAATTTACTTAAAGGTAGCCAAGTTACAGAAATAGTTTCCTTTTTTTTAATAGATCTGAATCCATATAGCTGATGTGATAAGGGGCAAGAGTATTTTGAACCATAGACTTATTTAGGGCATAACCATTAGTCTGGAAAATACTTACTCTTCACTAAGGAAATCAAAGGCTTTGGACTTATCCCCCGGGAGCTGAGATAAGGTGCTGCTCCTTTTCTTGACAGAAGGAGTAACATGAGAGGTGGGTGCATTGTACTTCAGATTAACAGGTGGTTCAGGCTTCTTAGTCGTATTACTTGAGGAGCTGAAAAGTCGACTGAAGCTAAACAGAAAAAAGTGTGTGTGTGTGACATGTACTGTGAAGAACAATCCATGATTTTCCACAAACTTTTATGCTCAAAAAAATTCCAAAGCACTTTTACAAGGCAATGAGTTAGAAACTGGCAAAAACAGTTTTTGTAGTTGCATGCTACAGGCTTAACAATAACTCACAGCCAAACTCAGACATTCAGGGACGAGAAACTATTGCTTAGAATGGCAGGCGCTAGTTCTCTAATTAGCAATTTCTGCAATGAAAGGAAGAAGCTCTTGAGTACAGGGAACTTCTACTGAATAAATAAAAGGGTTCCTTTAGCTAGCTCCTACTTGGTGCAATATAAAGATGGTTGTTAAACAACAAAGTTATAGCTGTATGATTTGAATAGAAGCTTAGTATGCCAGTTCTAGAAATAGTCTATTATAATAAAGTACTAGAACAGATATTAACACACATCTCATACATTTTCTGATAAAGCTCAATTTAAATAACTACTTTCATGTCCACTTTTTAAAAAATTTCCACTCCTATTAATCAGCAGATTCACCAAAAAGGGGGGGAGGTAAGTTTTAACCATAGTAAACACATAGTATTTCTGGCACAAACATAATTTAAGTCCAACATGTACAAATACTACTGAGACTCTACAACACTAAATTTCTTATCTTCACTTTGTGAAGTTCCTTACAATCACACACTCAGTGAAACAGTAACTTATTTAATGGGGATTCAGGTAATTAACAACTCTATAAATAACTCCCCCATTATTTTATTTAAATTTGGCAGAGGAGTGCACCAAATGCATAACCAACATGATGCAGCTTACGATAGCTTATCTTTTCTCCTCAAGAACAGCCTTACCGAGTTGGCACACTACATATCAAAAAGAAAAAATTCAGTTTAGCTATTTACCCCCAATATTTAAAAAAATTAAAGAAAAATGGACATAATAATCATTCATGAAAATAAATTATGACTGTAATCTTCTTATCCCAAAGTGCTGTTTAATGTCTTGTTTGTTTGTTTTTTGATACTTACAACTGCCAAATGCTTGACCTTTTTTTTTCCTGCATGGCTGGATTTTCTCGTGATGCCCTACATCAAAAAAAAAAAAGAAAAAGAAAAAGAAAGAAAAGAAAACGAAAAGAAAAAGAACAAAAGAAAGAAAGAAATGTGTTATCAGTGAGGTGTTCTAGCTTTCTACCTGAAGAACAAGGGACCCAAGAAGTTCATGGGATACACAGAAGAGAGTCAACAATTCAATTCAGTATACTATAATTACTTTGACTTACCATGTGTCAGTCAATCTGCTAAAGCTAATACTACTAAGATACATAAAATACCATCGCAGTCTAATGATTGAAGGTTGTTATCTGTGCTAGACAGATAGCCACTGTGCCTGAATAATATTTAAACATGTTTATTAAAAAGATATCCTCTAACTCTTCTGTTTATCAAAATATTGCCTTATAAATCCCTGTCTTTATCTAAAAGTCATAGCATTTGTACTCTCAGCTCCCACAAAATAGCCTGTAACCTTACCATTCTGATGGGTCATTTTTCACAGGACTAAAACGTCTCTATCACTGAAAAGATGGCCAGGGAAGGGAAGAGGATAAACTGGAGTGACAGATAATTCAACGAAATTTCAGATAATAAGACATTCCAAACTGATTTAATAAGGTGGTAAGAATTCTACATCATGCTCAGAGCTCCCTTTTCACTTTTTTTTTAAGAACTAAATTTAAAACATCTTTTAATTCAATGAACAAGTTAAAAGTAAGGTACTATTTCACTTGTTGATTACCACTTGGCTGCTAAGAGTTAAAAATAGCAATGAAAAGTGGAGTCCGCCTATATGCTTTCAGTTTTTAAAATATTTATTCATTGTTTATTTAATATCCATTAAATAATGCATTTAAAAACATACTTCTTAGTTTATTAGTTTCCTTATCCAATCTGATCTCCTTCCTTCTCAGCAGCTATAAACAATTACAACTATAGAAAATTGCAAAATGTGTTACACAAAATACTTCGTTCTAGTATGGCACTGGTAAAGGATCCATAAACTAATAAATAATGTAATCTTAAGAAAGTAAAAGTTGGAGGTCAGAAAATATGCTTATAAACTTAAAAACAATGTATATTGCTATTGGTAAATCTGATGTGACAATCCAAACTCAAAAATATGGGTAAATTACGGGGCAACTAATTTATAAACTTTTCATGAATCTCTTTCTAAATTGAAGTAAGGAATACTGTTACTAAAAATATGACCACTAGATGGCAGCATTAGGTGAGATTTAAGATCCAATTGACTGAAAGAGGTCAATGGAAGGTATACTTTGCAATGAATAGTTTGAAAATGGGGGAAAAAATTCAAGCAATAGTATTTCACAGGAAGACACGGGGTAAAAATAATTTATTTTCCTGTGTTGCATATAAAATCTTGATTTTTTTTCCTGACATCACTGCAAAGGAAGAATCAATTTCTATTTTTTTGAAAAATGACCATCATTCCTAAATAATAATTGCCTTTTGGAGACTGTGGGAACGTCCTCCAAGATCCCTTACTGGTCTAAAAGGCACCTACTTTGATCATACAGTTACTAATTCCAGCTGTTACTTTAGAAAGTGTCTCCTAGTAAACAGAGAAAGGGGCTTGGACCCCCAAGGCACGACTCTGGTCCTGAGTGAAGTAATATTCAAACCTACAAACCAATAGTAGGACAACACTCTAGAACTCATACCGAATCATCTCTGTCCATCGAACAGCTTCTTGAAGCTCCATCAATCTCTCTTTATACTGGTTTCTCTCCATGAGAACACGGGCCATTTCTACTCTAGTAAACCGCTTCCTCTGGGCTGTGGGAATATCACTCTATAATGATGAGAAGATGACAGATCACTCTGGGAGCCTGTATATGTTTTGGTGTTAATCTCAGACTTAAGCAAAATCTTTAGGCTTTTAAATATTCCTCAGTTACTAATCTAATAAATCACTTAAAGAAAAACGGCCCTATAGGAAATCAAGAAGTGGGGATGGGGAGAAGGGGAGGGGTAAAAACCTACCTAACAGGTACAATGAACACTACTTGGGTTATGGGCACACTAATAGCCCTTACTTAAGCATTACAAAAGCTACCCATGTAACAAAAACATTTGTATCCCCCTTAACATTTTGAAATTAAAAAATTAAAATACAAAGCTACTACAAATAAGAAGAAAAGAAAAGAAAAGTAGCCTTATAAAAATAGAATCGACAAAGAGATTTAAATAATCACTTATGACTGAAAAGATAAAAGGTAGGCCATTTAATTTCTGAATGTAAACACAGATATTTGAACATATTATAAAGGAATTACAAAGAATAAAGCATACAAATTTCAAATAAAACCAAAAAATTTAACTGTTATCTATGTAGATTTAATATGTTCTTATAAGTTCCCCCTGGAAATATTGCCCTAACATTATTTTAAATTCATGTTCTGTAACAACTGTCATTCAGAAAATAGTTACAAGTTAGGTTCCAAAAGAGGTTCATTTATCTCAAACTAGCAATCCATATACACACCCAAGGCCAGCATAAAGGGTAAACTTATTGCCTAGTTACCAAGGTACCCAACTATCCAAGTCAATAAAACACCAACAGAAATACAACAAGATAGAGACAACTATATTAACCAGAATTATTCTTAGAATAAAGGATGTGAGTAAGTCTACTTTCTTCTGATGCTGATTTCTGAAGTCTTTTCTGGGAAAGAAGGTGGGTCTAACTGTAGAGCTTTTGTTTTCCTAAATGGAATATGTACATTTGGGATCAAAGCTGAAGGGGTTAGGATAGTAAAAAGAGGCTAAGCTTAGCCTTCAGCAATTTTCCTCCTTTGTTTTCCTGCCACAGAACTTGGCCTCTCCTTTAAATAAAATGATAAAGGATCTTCAATTTGCAACACAGCAATCCCACTGCTAGGTATATACTCTAGGAAAACCATTGCTTCTATACATCTGGACACTTGTACTATAATGTTTGTAACAACAGCATTGTGACAGTAAAAAGCTAAAGACTAGGCCGGGCTCACGCCTGTAATCCTAGCACTCTGGGAGGCCGAGGCAGGCGGACTGTTTGAGCTCAGGAGTTCGAGACCAGCCTGAGCAAGAGCGAGACCCCGTCTCTACTAAAAATAGAAAGAAATGATCTGGATAACTAAAAATATACAGAAAAAAAAAATTAGCCGGGCACGGTGGCACATGCCTGTGGTCCCAGCGACTCGGGAGGCTGAGGCAGTAGGATCGCTTGAGCCCAGGAGTTTGAGGTTGCTGTGAGCTAGGCTGACGCCACGGCACTCACTTTAGCCAGGGCAACAGAGTGAAACTCTGTCTCAAAAAAAAAAAAGCTAAAGACTAAATATACTAATACATTAACAGGAAAAAAGATACATAAATGACAGAATATTTATAGAATGGGGTATCATAAAGCAGTGACCATGAATGAACTATAGCACTATATACAACATAAGTGAGTCTCAAAAACATACAACTGAGTAAAAGAAGTCTCCAAGACTAAATACGCCTATAGTACAAAACACAAAAAACAATGAAAACTAAGCCATATTTTATAAAGATACATATATGTGATATAATAAAACTATTTTTTTTTTAAAGTTAAGCAAATGATAAATATAGGACAGTGGTTTCTTCTGGAGGGGAGGAGCACAGAGTAGTTTCAATGGTGATTTTCTAGTTCTTAGATTGGATGGTAGGTTCATAATGTTAACTTATTATGGTCTATAACTCACATATGTTACATATATTTTTGTATGTATCAAATATATTTAAAACACCCATTAAAAAAAAAAAACCTCAAGCTTGACCTTTGACCTGAAAACACCTGATATAAAAATGATAATCTAGCTATCAACAGAATTGACAGTATGCTAATAATACTGACAAGAAGTTCGTATTTATTCTTTTGTATTTCTTTAGTATTTATGTATATTGACAATAATAATTGTCTAGTACTAAAGTTGGCTAATTGGCTAGTACTAAAGTTTTAGACTTCAACTTTTTATGTTTAATACTATTAAACAATTTTTATTATTAAGCTTTCACATTTCTAAATCAAAATTTTAAACAAAACAATACCAATGGAAAAAAAAAAACAAATATCCCAGTTGGTCCTTGAACTTGAACATGCAAAACACAGGTCAGAGCACAGAGACACAGGGAAATGAGCACGTCCCATATAGCTAGAAAGTAAGCTTGTGGATACCATGTAGAAGCATGAGCTATTCCATTCATGACCGTAAACAAGTCTTCTGACTTTTTAAAATCTTTATAATGCTATATCCAAAGCTTATGTAGCAAGATTTTCCCAAAATATCAAAATGTGGTAAAGTAAGAAAGAAAGTCCAAAATTGTAAACCTACATCATCATCATCTTTTGCTTTTTGCCTTGCATCTTCAGCTTCTGCACGAGCTCTAGTGGGGAAAAAACAAAACATGTTATTTGGATTGAGTTCCTCTTTTCAAAAAAAATGAAAGAGTAGGTCAACAATTTTAACTACGACTAAAGGATTATTTTTCTTTTTCCAAACAGGGTATTTAGCTGCCTTCATTTAGTGGAATGTTATCATAGCACTGTTTTCAGAAAAAAACAGGTATTATAGAAAGCTGAGTGAAGGAAAATAATCAATGTGTTTAATTTCCTTATTATCAAAACAAAGACGTTTGAACAGTTCTCTCTTTTCACATCATGACAGTCATGAAAGATGGCAGGCTAGTAACCGGAGGGGCCTGCTCACAGCAGAGGCAACCAGCCAGGGCACTTCCAGGCTCGGTGGGCTGAAGGCGTCTGTCTCAGAGTTACAGCTGTAACCCTCTGTGGTACGACTGACGAAGAGTTTGGTGTAGAACAACATAGCCAACACTTACTTCCTAAGCTCTTCCTCCAATTCCCTGTTCTTTTCCTCCAGCTTCAGTTTGGCTTGTTTCACGGCCTCCAGCTCCCCTTGCAGCACGTCCTTCTCACAGGTCAGTTCATCCACTTTTGCTATCAGATCATTCTTCACTACATTCAAAGCATTTCTAAGAAACACATATTTCAAGTGTGTCATTACAAATAAATATTCTTTTCATCTTTCGACTTACTCCTTTGGGGACTAAAGTAACTGTACAATCATAAAGCTGAGTAACTGAATACTTCAAGACATTCTATCTGATATTGCTCATAGATAAAGGCAAAACAACATAAAGCAACTAAGGTCTAAGTTATTACTCTTCCCACTTACCAAACAAAGAATAAATGGATAAAGCAAGACAGATAAAGCAAGACAATTAATAAAAAGTCAGAATTAAGTAAGATTACCCTTAAAAAATAGCATTCATTATCTCAGGAGTGAAAAATAGAAAAAAAATAGCATTCATAAGGCTACTATTGTTAATAAGTTCTGAAAAGATATTACCCAATCAATAAAGTTATTCCTTGATGTTACCTTTAATAATTAGTGAGAAAACAGCCTAAATTGGAAAGTCTAAGCAGTCTACAGTGAAGGAAAAAAATCTAAGATCCAGTTCCTCTGGGTACAGTGGGCATAGGACCTTGTTACAGCTACATCCTGTCTTGGATGTACACAAATGTTCCAAAGTTGCTGTGACGCGGCAAACTTGCAAAGGGACATAGTCACTTTTCCACATTACTGAGGACCTGTCCCACTAAATGTGCTTGAGGGCCTAAGATTCCCCAGATTGTACCCAAGAGCTTGTAGCTATGGGGGACAGCTCTGAAGAGGTGGGCCAGGTACAGATCAAAACATTTGTGCAGAAATAAAAGAAAACCCAGGAAAAGAGGTAAGAAAATAGACACATCTCAGGGGAGGGAGCAAAGTAAGTGTAGGACACATCCAGAAGATTAAGAGAAAGGCATGAATACCTGTGGAGTAGAAATAAGGTGAAGATCTGCGTGTCTGCAAAAAACAGAGCAATGAAACATACCTGTATCAGGGCATTGTAGGGCCCATTACCTATTTGTGTAGGTGAGTGTGTATGTGTAAACACATGCAGAAAAGGGAAGAAAGATGGGGGATGAAGACTGCCTGAGTGCGGCGTTAAATTGATGAACTGCCGTTGACTTGGACAAGAAGAAAATTCTATATCTTTTGTTCCTTTTTAAAATTTCGTATACAACTTACTTGGTTTCCAACAGTTGTGTATTTTCTAATATAAGATTCTCAACTTCACGACCCATTCCTATCAAAAGAAAAAGGATAAAGACTTTGAAAACAAATTTATCAAAAATTAGATATATTTATAATATAATAAGCTATAGTCACACATTTTATTTTAGAAACTTTTATCTGTCCTTTAGTAATCTTATTTTGTCTATAATTTCATCTGACATATCTACTTGTATGGATTATAAAATTATAAATAATTATGCATCATAAAACTAAGCTAAAGACTTTGTTGGCTAATTATTCATATCTGTTAGTCTATATTTTTATTTCTCATAGATAATAAATATTCTAACAATATTCTAGCATAACTTAGGGAAAAAAAAGAACAGCATTAATATGGATTAGGAATTGTTCCCAAATCACAGTTGATATTGTAGGCTTTTGCCTAAAACTTAGATCTTATTCATAGAGAACAGGCAGAAACAAGGCCAGAGAAAGACAGAACCCCAAGGCAGATGAAACCTTACCAAAGAAATTATGGTCTTAAAGCCCATGCATTCCATGTAAAGCAAAAACAAAGAACAAGAAATGTTTTATGTAAGAAACAGCATGAAAACAGATTATTAATCTATAAAGTTTTATGCATGATATGAAAAACATCTGGAATCACAATGTTATGATTTAATGCATAATGATGTGCAAAAGACAGAAACAAAGATGATTTCCTTCATTTGTAAGGATGCTCTCTAATATACCTAAAAAATGCTTCACCAATGCTTTCTCACAACAAAATTAAATAATTGACTGAAAACCCAAAATCAATACAAACTTTCCTTCAAAGTGTCAATTATGAAATGATAATATTCAGTTGTCACTTTATAGAGCTGTGTTTAATATTTTAATGAGTACTGTAAGATAGGCATAGAGAGCATTCAATGCAAGATCTAATGGAATTGTCCCTAGAGAGAAGAAAGCTATTTAATTTGCTTCTCATAAAAAACTAAAGAAATGAAATAACACACTAGGGAATATCACTCAGAAAACAAAAAAAACAAAGCAAAACAAAACAAAAAATCACACCGCTCCCTCATCCCAAGAAATTGTGAGCTAATGTTGGAAAATCACATACAATGGGATAAGTAATATTCATAACCCAGGTAAACAGGAAGGAAATATTTCTAAAGAAAACTACATAAGGCAAAAGAGTTAACATGCCCCTCTATTTAAAAAAACGCAATATTCTAATTGATTTAAAAATTATTTAAAGCAAACAAAACCAACCCAAGAATGCTAAAACTTTATTTAGTGTTCACATATGTACTTATGTTTTGTATTATAATTTTCTCAAATATTCTCAAAGACCAGGGGACATCTACCAGGAAGAATTAAACATCAGAAGTAGTAGCTTATTTAATCATCTGTGTATTCTCCACAAACTAAAAAAATAAACAAATAAAACTGAACTAAAAAAGTTTCCAAATTCCAACTCCAAAATGATTTCTAGCAAAATATTTGCTTTAAACACTAATGTTGACTTTTTAATAAAGTTATAGAGACAGAAGAAATAGAGTTTAGACTGGCTGAAAAAAGTTTATATAATAACTGTTTGCAATATACTCTCAAGCATCTATATGAGCATAAAAGCTAAAAATATACGTAGGGCAAAAAAAAAAAAATAGTTGAGCAGAAAAAAATGATGAGAAAGCACTAAATGAGAACAGCAGCCAAGAACACCTAGCTTAAAAAACAGTAACATTATTCAAAAGCATACACACCAGAATATTCCCCTAGGTAAGCAGCCCAAGAGAAAAATGAATGAGAATCTCAATTAGGTTATTTTCAGAAAGCAAGAACAAAACTCATTTATCTTAAAATGAGAGAGAGGAGACAAAGAAATTGAAAAGATGTAGAGAAACCATTAACTAAACACAATAAAGTGTAAATACTAACAGGAAAAAACTGAAATCTGTACTATGAGAAACATATCCTATAGCATAGTTTCTAAAGTTTATGTTGAATTTACAAATTCCCAATGAAAAGTTCTCTAAAAATCTAGTGAATAAATTTAACATCTGATCAATAAGATTATCCAAAATGTTCATTTTGAAAAGTACCAATAAAAACAAACTCATTACAACTATAAGAAAAACGTAATTTGAAGTGGCCTCATTTCTATTCAAGACTTAAGCCCAACATAAACTTAGATCTAACATATTTGGAAAAGTTACCTACTAAAAACAAGAAAAAAACCTGCCTGGCAATTCCTGAAATCGTATTAGTCTCATTTGGATTTTAGTATCAATTCTCAAGCAAGTTCCATAGATGGGTTTCAGAGTTACCTGGTAATTGCTTGAGAATATATGTACCACTTTATCTAGTTCTGTACGTGCATTTTTCCAATGGTACAATGCTCTCTTACAAATTCTCTTGTAAAGGATTTTTAATACCAAAAGGTAAAGAATCACAGATTTAGACGTGAAACAAAACTGTTAGAACTATTTAGTAACTCCATTCACTTAGTTGCTATGTGCTAAAGACGCAACAGTAAAAACAAAAGACACAGTTGTCTTGGCCACATTGAGCTTATTGTCTTTCCAGGGAGATAGGTACATTAAAAATGACAGTCAAGTATAAAGAGCAACATAATAAAATGCAGTGCCATGAGAATACTTTCAGGGACAACTGAGCTTTAATTAGAGGATCAAGGCAGAATCCCTGGAAGATGTATCATTTAAGCAGAGGCAAGAAAAATAGATATATACATGTATTTAGGAGAAGGAACGAACACGCCTTGGTGATTAGCTATGAGGGAAGAGTGAGAGGTCTAGGATGGAGAGATGAGTGGATGGCAAGGCTACTCATTCACTGAGATGGTACATGTTGGTACAAGAGCAGCCTTGGGGGACAGGACAATAAAGATGACAAACTGAGTTTCAAGCATGTCAAATGTAAAGTCCTACAAATCATCTTAGGGGTGTCTAGTAGGCAGTTTAGAAACAAGTCTGGGACTCTAGAAAAAGATCTGGGGTGGAGATGAAAACTTGGGAGTAGTACCCGTGAAAACCAAGAAACAGTGAGAGCAAATATGGTATCCAAAACAAACAAGGTGGCCTAGGATAGGAACAAAGGCTGTGGATCCTGCTAAGTTGACTGGAAAGGAAGAGTCAGAGGTAAGAAAGGATGCAGGCAAGTGTAGTATCACAGAAACCCAGCAAAGAGCATTTTAAAGACAAACGTTATTGAGAAGTCATGTGAAATAACTGAGAAGGAACCACTGGATACAGCAAACAAAAAGGTTGTTTCAGGCAAGGTGAGTATGGGGGAGAACGTCAGATTGTAGTAGGATGAAGAGCAAGCAGGACTGGCAAAGTCCTGCCAGTTAAGGTAGCCACACTTTAAAGAAGTCTGTTTTATTCACTGATCTATCACAAGTATCTATAACAGTGCCCAACTCATAACAGACACCTCATCAACATTGTTGCATAACTGTAGTCCCAGCTACTCAAAAGGCTGAGGCAGGAGGATCACTTGGGGCCAGGAGTTTGACACTAACCTGGACAACATAGCAAGATTGTTGTCACACACACACAAAATAATATTGTTGCATAAAGGCCTGACTAGAAATGGGAGGTATGTGAGTGATGGGTGCTAGGCAGTGAGGATACAGGGTTAGAGGAAGGCAGTATTTTTATTTTTAAATGGGAAAACCTAAACATATTTAAATGATAATGGAAAGAAATCGATAGAGACACGGAAGTTAAAAATACATGAGATAATTAAGGGAAAGAAAATCTCAAGAGTAGGATGTTTGAATGTATGATCTAAGTTCTAGAATGTGACTTCAGTCACTCATGGGGAATGAGTGACTAAAGTAAATGGAGAAAAGGGTCACTGAAAATAAGAAAGTCAGGGGATGAGACAGCAATCAAGATAAAGGACAAATGTTGGGATTATCTCTTTTAAATTATTAAAATCAGAAAAAAGTAATCTAAGTACTAAATCCATGTAAAATGATTAAAAGAAAGTAATATCCAGCAACAAGAGAAAGGTTTTAAAATAATATGGTAATTAGAAAAATGAATGAGTTATAGAAATGGACTGTGTACTTATTTATCAACCCAAGCACAATCAAGGAATCTTGGGGAACAATTTTGTTGGCTTAACTATATTCCATTTCATGAGTATTACCTCAATTGCTATCACTGAATTGCACAGAAGAGAAGCGAAGGAACAAATATGTTTCCTGAAAACTTCATTTAACATCTTTGACCAGTTGGGCGCAGTGGCTCCCGCCTGTAATCCTAAGCAGGCCGAGGCAGGAGGATCGCTTGAGCTCATGAGTTCAAGACCAGCCTGAGCAAGAGTGAGACCCCATTTCTACTAAAAATAGAAAAATTAGCCGGGTGTGGTGGCGCATGTTTGTAGTCCCAGCCATTCAGGAGGCTGAGGCAGTAGGAGGATCACTTGAGCCCAGGAGTTTGAGGTTGCTGTAAGCTAGGCTGATGACCCTGCACTCTAGCCTGGGTGACAGAGCAAGACTCTTGTCTCAAAAAAAAAAAAGCCCCAAAAAACAAAACAAAACAAAAATCTTTGACTAAAGGTATTCATGTAGATATAAGTCACTAAACTTAAGGTAATAAAATACTCTAATCTAGAATAGTCTAGTGATAAATATAGCAATATCTGCAAGATGGAAAAGATAGTTTAGAGTCTGTTTCTTGTCTTCAAAGTGGAAAACTAAAGCATCAGGATTTTGCTTTTAATCTACTATGCTTAATATTTTCTGATTTTCAGAAAATACTTGATTTAAGAAATCACATTTTTTTCTTTCCCCTGAAGAGACAGGGTCTCACTCTGTCACCCAGGGTAAAGTGCAGTGGTGCGATCATATTACAGCTCATTATAAACTTGAACTTCTGGGCTCAAGTGATACTCCTGCCTCAGCCCCAGAGCAGCCAGGACTACAGGTGCACATGCCCAGCTAATTTATTTTTTTGTAGACATGGGGTCTCATTATGTTGTCTAGGCTGGTCTCAAACTCCTAGCCTCAACTGATCCTCCTACCTCAGCCTCCAAAGTGCTGGGATTATAGGCATGAGCCAACGTACTTGGCCCTTTCTAATTCCTTTCTTTATTTCAAAGTATTACAGGGTACAAATAATTTTGGTTATATGGATCGCTTTTATGATGTTTGAGTCATGGTTATAAGACTCTTCCTAATTCTCCTCACTACTGGATTATGAGGCAACATAGTGTACAAATTATATTCAAAAGGGTTTCATTCTTTTTTTAAAATTGTAAATTTTTTCTTTAGGCTAGTCAAGTAAAGCAGTAGGAGTGGAGAAGGAACAAATCTGCAACTGGTTGTGATCAACTAGTTGTGAACACCACTGCACTTGGACCAGCCAGTACTTCACTCTTATTACTATAAAGAGGCAGCATAAAGGAATTTTGGGAGATGCTGTATATTGATTCTGGTGGTGGTTACACAACTCTATGCATTTGTCAAAACTCAAGAAGTTGTATACCAAAAAGAGTGAATTTTACTATACTGAATATAAATTTTTAAATTCTTCTAACATTATTTGCACCCATCCCTCAAGTTTGCCAGGGAGAAACCAATTAAATCTTAAAAGAAACTTTTCATGTAAAATTTGATGTTAACTAAAATTAAAGTGTAAATTTAAATGTAAAAATGGAGTATTCCTTAAGAATTAATCTTTCCTAGCCCTCCTTAAGAAATGTAATTCACTCGATTTCTTCCAAAGTTTTACTTAGACTTTAATAGTGGCAATCTCTTTATGTCTAACTAGAAATAGTGATACACACATAGTTTCAATCTCTTCTACTAGATAGACCTTGAGACACAACTTGTGTTTCCTTCTAAAAATACTTAACAACATCATAATTAGCAATCAATAAATTTAACATACATTAATGGAAGCAATGTCACTCCACTCAATATTCGGAAGAACTGACAAACAGTACCTTTTGAGAACAGTGTAGGCTGTGCTATAATTAATTACACTAATAAGTGTAAAATTTTTGTAGCCCAGTATCTATTCCAAAGGCATAAATTTTTAATTCTATATAGTTTTCAATTTCTATAGGATCTTAAGTTTTAAGAAAACTATACCAAAGCTAATTCACCTAAGAATCATGTAATTACTGCTGAAAGGAACTTTAGAGATCACCTAGAGAAGGCACTGGCAAACTTTTCCTGTAAAGGGCCAGATGGTAACTGTTTTAGGCTTTGCGGCCATATGATCTCTGCCACAAACTACTCAACTCTGCTGTTGTTGGGCAAAAGCAGCCACAGACAATAAGTAAACTAACGAGGGTGGCCGTGTTCGAATAAAACTTTATTTACACATACACAGGTCAGGTGGATTTGGCCCATGGAGGCACAGTTTGCCAGACCCCTGAACCAGAGTCCAGGTCCTTCATTTTACACAAGAAGAAACTAAGGTCCAGAAAGATTAAGTTATTTGGCAAAGGTCACCAGCCAAATAGCAAAAGAGTCAAAAGCAGTATTCTTTTCAAACCATGTGTTCTTCAACAACGCAAACTTTAAAATGATTATATTTCCCATAGAGCTAAAACATAATAATCTGTGAAAGCTCAGAAAAATAAAGTGTTATAATTTTTTAATTAAGGTCAACAGAATTTAATGAAATTGATTTAAGCCAGGAACTAACTATCCATCAATCCAAACACACACACACACACACACACACACACACACACACACACACACACACACCACCGTGTCCCTATGTATAATATCTGTCTTGGAATACTGCAGAAGTTCAATAAACTGTGTTATTTGAATTCAAAACACAAACTTAAATGCAATTCAATTTTAGGCATATCCATATGTGAAGATGCTTCCATTTAAAACTTTCATGATCTCAAAAGAATATGTTCCTAGTAATTACCTGTAAGGGTAGTAACCCTGTACCACTGAGCAGTTAAAGACATTTTAAAGGAATTTTCAATTAGATAATTTTTAAAATCTATTTTTAAAACAGTATGATACTTCTTCAGATGAGCTGCCATACCTAGTAAATCTGCTCCTTCATCCACATCTCCAATTAGGCCTGAGCCCGCTGAAGACAGTTCTTCAAAGAGAGATTCTGTATTGCGATCAAAAGCTTTGTTCTCTATGCCTTTGGTGGGAGTGCTATGCAACAAAAACAACGAAACCAAATCAACAAATTAGAAGGACTTTTTGACAGTTGAAAATGAATACAGTGGACTAAGCTACAAAGGAATTTCCTACCTATATAATTTACATTTACTACAAAATATAATTTTAAAAGATTTCTCCAAGGTTTCCTAAGGCATTCCCAATAAGCTCCACAGAGACAACTGGTAAAGAAATTATAGAATGTTTTTGTTGTGAGATCCCAGCAAACACAATAAGGGCGGCTGCTTTGCTCTGTACTAGGTGCTAGTCTAACTGCTTTCCATAGATTACCTATTTAATATCACATCTACTGCACAAAGAAGGTGCTGCTGTTACCCCAATTTTACAGATGAGGAAACCAAAGAGGTTAAGAAATATGCTTGCCAAGATCATTCAGCAAATGAGTGAAAAAGGCAGGATTCAAATCTAGGCCATTTGGTTTCAGAATCTTTGATCTTTTTTTTTTTGAGACAGAGTCTCACTCTCTTGCCCGGGCTAGAGTGCCATGGCGTCAGCCTAGCTCACAGCAGCCTCAAACTCCTGGGCTCAAGCGATCCTACTGCCTCAGCCTCCCGAGTAGCTGGGACTATAGGCATGTGCCACCATGCCTGGCTAATTTTTTCTATATATATATTTTTAGTTGTCCAGATAATTTCTTTCTATTTTTTTTTTTTTTTAGTAGAGACGGGGGTCTCACTCTTACTCAGGCTGGTCTCAAACTCCTGACCTTGAGCGATCCACCCGCCTCCGCCTCCCAGAGTGCTAGGATTACAGGCGTGAGCCACCGCACCCGGCCTCAGAATCTTTGATCTTAACTACCATGTTATATGTTGTCTGCTATAATTTAGCATGGCTTTTTAATTTTTCTTTGAAGAACAATTTTTTAAGGACAATTTGACAATATCTATTCAAGTTTAAAATGCAAATACCTACTGACCCAAGAATTTTATGCCAAAAAAGTCCTACAAAAACCTTGTCACAAGAAGGCAATTATGCATGTAAAGGATGGTCAGAGTAGCATTTTAATACTGGCAAAAAAACTGAAATGACCTACACAATCATTAATAGATGAAATAAGTTACAGATACAAAAAAGTTTTTAACTTTATGGTTAAAAACATTAAAATAGAACTTTATAAACTAAAGAAACTCATTACACTAAAGTTTTTTTTTAAAAAAACAAAGCTGTAAAGCTGTATATTGTAAGCCCTTTTTTATAGGAGCATGGAGGGGAATGGGGAAGTGTGTATGTTTGTGCCTCAATGCTATAGTAATAGGAAAACTCTGTACAGGATTTCCAGTTAAACACTGTAAACTGAACATAGTCATTTATCACCTAATAAATAATTCTGAAACCTAACAAAAATGACAGTTAAGAAATTAGAAAGGTATACATCTAAAAGGGAATAGAAAAAGAAATTACAGCAGATGAAATGTGAACAAAATTCTGTAAGATGGAAAACAGACGGACAAATAGTAGACACTGATTTAACAGACCAGAGAAAGCTGAAACCTAAGCCATCGGGGCTTAGGGAAGAGGTCAGTATGCTGCCAGATCCCTGCAAGGCCTCAGACTTGAAAGTACTAGCAACTTCGGAGACAGCATGCCATGCGGAACACGAACCAGAGAATGGGATAAAAGACTGCGTGAGAGGCAGGACGAGACCTAGGTGCAATCCTCCAGGAGAGGGAGACCTCCCTTCTCTCAGCACAGCTCCCTGAACAACGGAAGCCATGTTTAAATGTTACAGGCAGGAAACTGGAGAATCAGCGTTACCTACTTAAGTATGAGGAAAACAGCCACAGAACACCAATCCTCCATTACAAAAGAAAGAGCCCAAAACAAAAGAGAACATGTGTGACAGAGGCACTAAGAACAAAAGAAGATAATGCAGGCAGCAGCACCAAAAAACAAACACAAACCTTAATTTTTTTCAGAATAAATGTTGTTTCCATAAAAGAACAGCAGGGTGATATAAAAAATAATCAACCAAGAAAAAAACTTAGGAAAATCAAATCAATGATGGTTTAAGGAAATCTGTCAGAAATTAGAACAAAAGTAAAAGAGATGGAAAAGAGGGGGAAAAAGAAATTATGAGGATCAGTCCAGGATTTTCAATATATACCTAACAGGTGTTCTAGAATGAGAGTGGAAGAAACAAAAATAGGGAGAAAGAGAATTTCTTAGAACTGGGAGATATGGATTTTCA